TTGATCAAAATAGTAGTGATATTTTAGGAGTAAAAATAATAATGAGCAGAGACCTAAAGGGTTAAACTTTTAACTTTAAGGGGTTAAAAATTTTAATTTATGCTGTGAAAGGTGACAAATAAAATAATGCACATGCAACATAATATAAATGATATAGGAAACTATTGGTGGTTCTTAAAGAGTTAAGTAATGCCTCGTAAACATAAGATATATTTATTTTCAGCTGTTAAAATCGTCCCCAAGACGCCATTTCAGCTTCATTTGTTAAAAACAATGCTAGTTAATTAACAAAACAAATTTTTTTTTTTGAAATGTTAATTAAGGTGTCCACTTACATATTTTGTTAATAATTTTTATTTATTTAAACAAAATTACGTTGTTACAATATAATATTCTAATACCAAAAAAAGTACTTACGTAGCGTGAAAATAACTTTTGTGATGTAACTCCTTCAAAAGTACAAAAAAATGGTTTGCCAGCAGGGGTGTACATGTAGATTTATTACATACACCTTGTGCGCCACCTAGGAACCAAATCTAGAACCCTACACTCGAAATTTTTGCTGTGTTACAATCGTACCCTGTTATAATTGACCCCACTCTCCCCTACGTTTTTGTGTATGATTTCATAACTTAAAACATCGGCTGCACTTATTAATTAGCATATTTGAGGTCAAACCCTCGAGCTATCAAGATTGAGTCCTAGAACTTGAAGATCCGATCATTAGATCAAAAGTTATTCTGGGTTAGGTTACGCACTGTACATAATAATTCCATTCTTGCTTATTTTATTTAAAGAAGCAGCTGATTTGTATAATCTAGTGGTTTTATTAGTGGCGGTCGCTGTATTATGTTTATTCCCAACAGATGTCTCAATAAATGGACTGATGAAGAAGTACCTGAATCGAAGTGCGATCCCTTGTTGAAACCAGTGGAATTAGAACCCTGTCGACTACACTGCCCGGGGGAATGCGTCCTATCACCTTGGAAGATCTCTAAGAAGTGCTCAGAGGTATGTATTAGCTAATCTAAGATTACATTAAGACGATTATGTAGGAATCGTGCCCCTAGAGATCATTAATTGCACGTAATATTTTGAAAAATTAAACTTATACGTCAAATGCGTTTACTAATTTTTTGTTTGAATCGACGAAATCTACCATAAACCTCCTTTGCTAGTTTTAAAATATTAAAGTGTTGGATGTTAATGTAGTGTATTAAATTTTATGGTCATTTCCGAACATAATGAAAATATTAAAGTGTTGGATGTTAATGTAGTGTATTAAATTTCATGGTCATTTCCGAACATAATGCCTTTTCAATTTAAAATTTAATACGAAAATCGCTAGTTTTATAACTTAATTTTTAATGTTAAGATTGATAATTATGGAATTTGTTACACTGCAAAAAATTCTGGATAAAATCGCTGTAAAAAATACAGTGCCAGTACTTTTTACCGTATAATTCATTTTTACAGGAATATGTTCAAGCATAAAAAAATCTGATATGCCGTAATTTTTACAGTAATAATTACTGTTATATCACTGATTCACTCTAATCAAATAATTATTACTGTAAAATTTACGTTAAAAATAGATTTTACGGATGATGTATCCAAAATTCCGGTATTTTATACCATAATTTGATTCAGAAGTGTTTAAAACATATTTTCATTTTTTACTGTCAGTAGAATAGAAAAAAACTATGAATGAAATCGGAATTCATAACATTGGATATTTGTGGTTGTTTCTCGATTGTTTTATAGTTAGTTTTAACATTTTCTCTTACCAAGTACCTTTACATAGGTATCCATAAGCAATGGATGATTAATGTTAATGCATTGTTTTATTTATTTTACTTTCACTTTTTGAATTTGTTATATTATATAGTACATAAAAGATGTTGAATTCTCATGCAAGCATTGATAAATTATCATACGAAATATGAAAAATACTATTTATTTTGTTTGAGTTTGTTATATCGAATAGTGCATAAAAGATTCTGAATTCTGCTTGAAATATTGATAATTTATGTCACGAAATACGAAAACTATTTCTCATTTTGTTTATTCCGTTGTATAAACTATTTGTAACTTCGTACTAAACTGATTTAAAATAAGTTTTTGATTTTTAGCCAGTGTAACATAATAAATATAATCCAAAAACTTATATTGGATTATAAAATAATTTATATCTTTTTTTTATTATCTCTTCTTTATGGTGTATTTTAAAAAATCATCACTTAGTATACATGTTTCGCATTCTATTTTTTCAAATTGAACTTATTTAACATAAAACGTTTTAAATATACATATTTCTATACCTGTCATGGATTTCTCGCTTTAAAGTTTAGAAATCATACTATATAAAGTTGTTGTGTTTTTACATCATTATTATTTATTTATGCTACACTGCATCGTTTGGAGGGCGTCACTTAACATGCTATCTCAAGTTCACAACATTTTCACCCATGTTAATTATCTGAAATGTATGTAAGACATCGCTAAACATACCATCTCCAGTTCACGCCATATTCGCCCATGTTAATTATCAGAAATGTTTGTAAAACATCGCTTAACATGCTACCTCCAGTTCACGCCATATTCACAATATTAATTATCAGAATTTATATCCGGGCTGATATCCGCACGGAGAAAACAATTATAGCAAAACTAGGAGGCTCCGCCCCCTGCTCGGTAAGGCTCGCCAACCCCCGAGAATTGCTACGCAATCCTATGTGGTTCACGCCGTGAACCATGGCTCGCTGCGCTCGCTCGCCAATGAACACAATGTTCTAGCACAAAGACATAATATATTATCATCAAAGACATAGTATTTTATCATCAAAGACATAGTATTGTACTTATGTAGAAGAATTCTACCAATGTTCTTATTGGCTTTTAAAAAAGTATATTAGCTATTTAGATTGTACATGGTGAAAAAATCAAAACATTAGCTAAATAAGAAACATATTAGCAAAATAAATTATCAAATATTGCTTCACTAATATTCTGCATTTTAAAGCGTGAAAATTCAATGCATAAATAAACGCGAAATATAAAAAAATTCAATGCATTCAATACAAACACTTAAACGTTTTTTAGACGTTTAGGTAGCTCCCAGTAGAAAAATATCAATTCAACAGCGGCCTTTTAAAGCATTCTCACTTCAATTAATTAATTAATTCCTAATTGAGTTTAAATTAAATATTGTCATGTTTTTAGTGCATGTATTGAGACACGTATAACAGATAATGCTCACTCTGGTTATTGTTATCTGGTTGCTCGCTACGTGCTCTTGCGCGCTGAATCCAATCAATTAAAAATAAAAACTGTTGCCAGTGAGAGAAAAGAAATATCATCGGTTTTATTGATACATACATACGTACGTATTAGCGTTTTATATAATAAGATAGATAGATTACCGTACTATACGGTAATGACATTTTCGGTAAACAAAAACAAACAAAAAACTGCTTCTGGATAATATAGCCAAAATTTACGGTATTTTTAGAAATAAAATTTACGGTCCAAAATTTACAATTTTTCGATCCAAATTTTTTTTCCCAATCCATATTACAATCCGAGATTTACGGCCTCATTTGGCAATTTTTCCATTTATATGGTAACGGTTTACCGGAAATTCTGGTTTTCAAACTTATAGTTCTTATTACCACATATTTAGTAAAACACATAAAACTGAAAAGTAAATTTAACCGAAAAAATGGTTTGTATGCCATGCTCAAAGGGATCATTATAAAATTACCAAATTTTATCACGTATTATAAAACCTTATTTTATTGTTATTTTCCAAAATCAATACCAGAGCCTTTCGGTAATAAATACCGGACTTTTTGGTTTTCAAATCGAGGCAGAAATACGGTGAATTTTACCATATTCTGGTAATTTTGACCGTACTTTATTTTGCATTAATGTATAACTAAATTTTATTGTTAGATGATCGGTTATTTTTTAAATTAATTGAGTGAAGAACTGCTTCATTTTTTTCTTCTTCCAAAAGCCTTGTTCCAGAGAAAATTATGAGGAAAAAACGAGATGGGTTATGAGATATCCGAACTCCACTGCCGAACCTTGCCCTCACCTGATTTCCAGAAGTCCTTGTGTTTGGAACGAGAATTGCTTCAACCATTCCTTTGTGATGGGCAGTTGGGGCTCGTGTGTCCTTCCAGAGGGTTCCATGTGCGGAGAAGGTGTCCAGAAGAAACCACTTATGTGCATGCGAAGTGATGGGAGACAAGTGGATGCAGTGCAGTGTGAAAAGGTTTGTTATCTTTATCCAACAATTATTCATTAGCTTATTAGAAATAGGTATCAGTTGATTTGTAAATTATTCGATTTTCATGTGATTTGATTTTGCTAGACAGTAGGTTTCAGTTGAATTTTGCGAATAAATAAGGAGAGCAATAAAATTCATATTTCTCATAACTACAAAATTAAACAACTAATGACACTGACCTACCATGACAACTATGAGAAGATAATCTAATGGATTTAAACCTCGAAGAAAACTTTTTTTTGTCATACGAAATAAATTGTTTCAATTTTTATAAAGCTTTATTTCTTGACCATATTGGCTGAAGAGATAGAGCGTTCGCCTTCCAATGAGGTGAACCGGTTTCGAATACCAGCGATGGTTGGTCGAACCGAATCCGCATCCGGTTTGCACCCGCCACAGTGCTGACGTAAAATATCCTCAGTGGTAGACGGATCATGGGTTAGAGTCCCTTTGACATAAGGCTACCCGTGAAAGGTTTTGTGGTCTCTGTCTAACGCTAATGCCGGTTAGTTCCTTCGAAAAATCCTCGAAAGCAAATTTTCCCCCAATATTTGATCCAGGAGTTCCCTTGTCTTCTGAATTGCGTTCAAAATTACAATTTTACAGAGTTGAACATTAGTAGTCGTAATCCCAAATTTGGCTCGGCTGTTTAACGGCGGTAATAAAAATATGACATAAAAAGCTTTATTTCGACCTCCTTCAGTCAATATTGCCCATTCTTGATTCAAACCTGTGCTTTATGACTTGATGTTATTAAGTGCTTAGCATTCCGAGTGTTCCAAGCATCAAAAATGCACGTTTCTGATGCTTCTGTACTGTTAGCAGTATAGCATACTTTCAAGGGTTCCGTCAACGTCTCATTGTGGGCTGGTCTTGTTTGAAGAATCTGTGCTGACGTGTCTCCAACGACTCGACTTATACCAATGTCCTATTCAACCAATTCAATTTTCATTGTAGCTGCATTCGAGTACTTTTTAGTTTTACATTTTACTTTTTTTTTCAAGTACCCTTCCTTTTTAAAGTTTTTTTCAAAAACTCTCTCTGCTCAGACATAAAAAAAATATTGAAATTTTTATTTAGACAATCATGAAACTCGTATTTATGTAACTTATATTAATTAGAATTCTTGAAACTGTTGTGGGGATAAAGAAACAAGCTGCACTTTTCTCCAAGATCACATTTAACATCAAACTGCTCCTTAAATATTGTTTTCAGATCTCTTAATAATTTGTATTATTTTAGACAGATTACTTTTCTAAAATATTCATTCAATCACAGCAAAATACACAGACACTTCTAATTGACAATGGAAGCCAAGCTGCTTTTCCTCAAAAACCGCTCTCCTCAGCCATTCAAAAATGTGGCTTATCATTGTATTGCCCCTATTTTTATCAAATATGTTACCTGGCAGTTCATTCTTTAAAAATAATCTATTAAATATTATGATTCTTTGTGCGTTTTCTAAGCTTATTTTAGTTAAAAATATTTTTTTAAAATCAAATTCTGAAGAATTTTTGGAAAAAAAACATCTATCACTAAACTGATTATAATATTATAATTATTACTTGTCGCTTTTTATCCATCAAACAGTTAAAGCCTATTCTCTTCTTTTTATGTTTCATTTTGTGTATTTTCAGAATCAGCGATCACCCTCACTGCTAGAACCCATATCTAAACCCTGCTATATCGATTGTCCTGCTGACTGTGTACTATCTGAATGGTCAGAGTGGAAAGAAAGTTCGTGTTACGCATGCGGAAATCCGGGTATGCTTTTCCTAACATTTTGAAGTGTGGCTTTTCTGTTTATACAATTCCGACTTCGATGCATCGAATAATTTTTAATCTATTTCTTCCCATTGGCGCATTCCCTTTCTTTATTCTATATTAAAGGAAATGAGAGCCAGCTTGAACTAATTATGCATTAAATTCCATGCTAAAAAGCAATCGCAATGGTTAGTAAATTAATTTAACGGAACGAGATTAACTTATTAACCCTTAAAATGTATCATAGGTAGGAGTCTGTTTAGAAGAAATTTTGGTCCGTTAAATATCTTCACAAAATATCTTTTTATAAAAACGGACCCTTCAAAAAATATTTTAACTTTAAAACAGACCCTTCACAAAATGATTTTTCTTTTAATCGGACCCTTGACAAATTTGTTTATCTTCATTATTGTTTTGTTAATTGAAAAAACCCTTCCCAGGGCAGAAAACAAGAAAGATGGATGTAAACGAATTAAGTTTTGTCTTCGGCAGACGATTCTTCCATTATTCGTCCGAAATGAATATTCTGCGTTCAGCTGTATAGGCTAAATATCAAATGTTGCATCTCTAAGTTAGAAGCAGCAATTACTATTTATTTTTGAAAATTTAAATTCTTTTTTTTTAATTATAATTTTGCAGTGCTGAGCATTATCTTGTATCTATTTACAATTTAAAAACTCATTGAAAAAGTTTTTTGCAATAACCGAAGCCTATTTGCACAAATTCATAAAAGCAGGACCCCGGTTAAAAGAATGCGAGTAATTTTTTCACAATTTCACAAAAAGCGAACCTTTCACAAAATGCAAAATAATTTATTTTTAATCGGGCCCTTCACAAATTTGTTTATCTTCATTATTGTTTTGTTAATCGAATAAACCCTTCCCGGGAAGGGGAGAAAGACGGTTCAAGACAAACTGAATTTCCTAAGTTTAAATTCCAAATGTAGTATTCTAAGAAAATATTTCTACTTTTACAAACATTGTGTGCGCATTCTTATTAATATTAAATCATATTTTTTTTGTNTTATTATTATAATGAAAAACTAGCAAAATTGTATTAGTGATTTTGACCTAATTAAATTTTACTCTTATTAGAATAATTTTAGTTATGCTATTATAGTTTTTGAGCTATAATAGCAAAATGTAAGATAGTCTTTTTTGAGAAATTCAAATGTTATTATTTTTCGTAATTGTGATATGGCTATGATTGATATTTGTTATACTTAATTAAAAAAGAGTTATAGAACTGAAATATTAATATTTAAGTTGTTGATTTTAAAAATTGAAATTATACAAAAGTTGAAAGTTTTTACAATTAAAAAAAAATGTTGTTTTGCAATATAATTAAAAAATTTTTTTTTTTTTTTTTTGCAATAACGGACCCTATTTGCACCAATTCATAGAAGCGGACCCTGGTTGAAAGAATGTGAGTAATTTTTTCACAATTTCGCGAAAAACGGACCTTTCACAAAATATCTGGACAGACCCCTGCAAATTTGTTTATCTTCATTATTGTTTTGTTAATCGAATAAACCCTTCCCGGGGAGGGGAGGGGAGGGGAGAAAGACGGTTCGTGACAAACTGAATTTCCTGAGTTTAAATTCCAAATGTAGTATTCTAAGAAAATATTTCTACTTTTTTAAACATCGTGTGCATTATTGATATTAAATGATGATGATTTTTTTTTTTTTTTTTTAAAGTTTGAAATTNAATAATTGATCTTTTTATATTTATTCATAAAATTAATTAGATGCACGGTTCCTATAGTCAAATCAAAAATCAGTAGTAATTATTATGGTATTTTGGAATCTTTATTTCTCAAAAATAATTAAATTGTTATTTGAAAATATGTGCTTCAAATAATTGCTTCTTTAAATCGTTAATGTTCTATTTTAGTGCTTGAAAATCCGGCTATGTGATCAAGAATAATTTAGGATAAATCGTTTCCCCCTCTCATTGTATTGCGATTAATCTTTTAAATAATAAGTTTTTCTTGTTTTATTTATACCATATGGGTGGTCTGTTTCCGCACTGTACATTGTGTCTGATTCTGTAGTTTAGAACATCGTATCTACAAATGAGTTAGTATATGAGTATTTAAAGGTCTATCACTTAGAGCATTAAGATTTATCTTAGTTCGCAAGAACCCAAACATATAAAAAGATACTAGGTGTTCAATATTTTTTTTTACTTTTATTGCAAACTTTTACCACGTTAATGAAATATTATATTTCTAATATATAAAACGAGTTTCTACATTAAAAAATTCCCTAACCAGAATAGTTTCTAAGCTCTGTGAAAAATTCGATTTTTTTTTTTTGTTTTTTTTTTTTTAATGTTTTTAACAGCCAGGTTCTTAAAACTACAAAACTTTACCTAATTTAAAAGTTCGATATTTTCTGGAGAAAAAGCCAAATCTTTTTCAGGACTACTTTCCAGTTTTCATTTCAAATGATTGATTACATTAGTTTCAGTTTAATTTTATTAGAAAAAATAAATAAATGTTCATTTTAAAATGATTCCTATGCTGGAAAATAGCACATTCTGAGCAACGCTTTGAGAAATACAAACTATTTTACCTATAAAAACAATTTTGTATTGGTTAAAGTGAAGAGGAAAAAATTATTTCATTTTATATTTGAAAGAATTCACCATAATTCTAATTTTATTATACCGATATTTTTTGTGTAGGCTTATTCATAATTGATTCTGTAAAAGTTAAATAATTTAGAATAAATAGTTAGGCTTTTCCTTATTATACACGCTAGAATTTCTCAAAATCATTTCTTTTAACTTGAAAAAGAGACAACCCTAAATTTGCAATTATAAAAATTATATTAGGCTGTGAGAAGAATGTTTCCCACAAAATTTATTAAATTTTAAATGTATATAGATAGAAATTTATTTTCCTACCTATGGTTAGTCATGTGTTCATAACTTTAGAAAATACGAAAGAAAATCAATGAAGGGCTTGACTTTGTTTGCGCAAACGTGAGTAACAGTAAGGGTCAGCGTGGGATCAAGAAGAGAGGAAGAGAATTATTTTCTTTTTTACGATATGCTTTCGTCCATTTGAACATTCCTCATCAAGCTTATAGGTACTTATAAAGACAGAATTTATAAATTCATTTATTTAGACGCACACGCGTTTGTGGTGGTAATTTTTTTACAGCGGGTAAAATTTAAGAATATTCTTCTTCTCACCAGAAGAAGAAATGGTTCTAAAACAAAATTAATTATAGGTAACATGCTATAATTCGTTTTATTCGTGAGTTTCAATCCCCAAAATAATTTCACCTAAAATTATTAGAAAAAAAGGCTTGTATAGAGTTAAAACTAATTACAGTACAAATCGGAAAAATTTATAATATTCAACTGTCTATATTCAACTCATATTTTCAAAAATTAGGTTAATTACTTTAAAAAAATGATTAACATCATAATTAAACTCCACATTAGTCACCTTTTGTAGCTTAAATTCCGTTTACCCAAACAGCGTATCTACAAATTATTACTCTTCGTAAAGAAAGTTTCATATGAATCTGAAAATTTGGAAATTTCATCGATAACTCTTTATTATATTTGAAGGAATAATATTTTTGAAGCAGCAAGAGCATTTATAAAAGATTATAACGCAAAAAAAGGTTTCTTTAAAAAAAAAATTATTATTTTTTTTTCGTTTTCCTCAAAAAATTTTACGTTANTTTTTTTTTTTTTTTTTTTTTTTTTGTAAATTGGAAATAGTTTTCTATTCTTTTTATTACAATTTGAAATTCCCTTTTCGAATTGTGTACCATACAGTAAGTATAGTGAAAGCTAAAATGTTATTAAAACTTTTTTTAAACTATACTTCGCTTTCTTAATAATAAAAAGAAATTTTGGAGATTTGATTTCATTTCAACTCTTCAGATGAAATCAAATTGCTTTGGGATGTCTTTTTTTCCGTTTAGCTAGTTTTAATGTTTTTTTTTTTTCCTTCAAATTCAACTCTTATTTATTAAACTCTAATTTTATTTACATTTATTTTAGACATTCAGGAAATTCCTTCTACTTTTATAACGTCTCAATATTTTTTTTCCGTTTATTTTATACATTCTAGCCGGGGGTCTGTTTAGAAGAAATTTAGGTCCGTTAACGAACCCTTCACAAAATATCTTTACTTAAAAACGGACCCTTCACAAAATATTTTAACTTAAAAACGGACCCTTCACAAAATAATAAATCTTTTAATCGGACCCTTCACAAATTTGTTTATCTTCATTATTGTTTTGTTAATCGAATAAACCCTTTCGAAGAAGAGGGGGGGGGAGACAGATGTAAACGAACTAAATTCTTTATATACTATTCAGGGGTCTGTTTAGAAGAAATTTGGATCCGTTACGGACCCTTCACAAAATTATTTTTCCTTTAATCGGACCCTTCACAAATTTGTTTATCTTCATTATTATTTTGTTAATCGAATAAACCCTTTCCAGGGCAGAAAACAAGAAAGATGGATGTAAACGAATTAAGTTTTGTCTTCGGCAGACGATTCTTCCATTATTCGTCCGAAATTAATATTCTGCGTTCAGCA